GTGACCTAACCAGAGGTACTAAGATGTGCACAGTGTAACTGGCTACACTGGGGTTCTTCGAAAAAATAAATGGAGGGAGACACAGAACCACCGAGGACAGGTAGACACTTGACTCTTCACAAGAACCAGGTCCTTTGCTTTCAGGATTTTAGAAATTTTAAAAATATATAAATCCTTGATGGTTATTGAAACACCATCAAACGTGTTTTGTGGAAGTGGTCCAACCATGAAAGGTAAATTGTTTCCATTTCATCATTGTCTCTGGGGAGCACAGTTCAGGTGTGTATGTTTAATGGCTTCTGTGTGCATGTTTTAATTGCTACCTTGGTGCTAGTCTCCCAGAGGAGGTAAACCACTCAAGTAAGTTTTCCTTATGTCAGTCACAGTGGGTATATTTAAGTGAAACTCATTGGAAAAGTACTTCTAAATCTTTGGGGTCCTGCTTAAAAACTGCTAGCAGTGCTAGCAACCAGCTATGAGTTGGAAGAATGTGCTCTGTATTGACATGCAAATGAGCTCACTGAGCAACCACTTTGCTTTAGAGATTTACATAATTTGATACCAAAAGCCACATTAAATTAATATTAATTACTTGGTTATAAAGCAAGAAACTTGAGAGTTAAGCTTCTCTTCTTCCTACATTTCATCGCATCTATGCATGAAAACATTGATACACAAGGAATAAAAATCCTTTATGTGCAGAGATATCCAGGCTGTTTCTTCGAAGAACGTGGCTTATTACCCCAAGACGTGTAGGAAGGAAACCGATGGATGTCTGTTACGTTCAACTCCTTCATCAGAACACATGTTTGCACAGAACTAACGCAGCACTCTGCACTGTTCCTGGTGCACACACCCGTGTTGTTACTTATTCCTGGCAAATTTTCACTTCTAATCCCTTCTTCCCTTGCCCATCCGCACAAGAGATCCTGAACAGCATTTTTATGCCAAAAGACTGGACTATACTCCAGCTTACTAACTCATAAAAAAAAAAACAAACGCTAGAAGATACATGGGCCACAAAAATTAAGTAAATTACTTTTGTATTGAGTAGCATATCTAGAGCATGCATGTTCCAGACTGTCCCCATTGTATATGTACTGCCGAGCACAAGCCACCTAGCATGCGCATGCATTCTGTCACGCACTTCCACAATTACCTAATTCTCCCTCTCTCAGAAAACCCATATTAGGACTCACTGGAACTTTATCAAAACACGATCTCACTCATTATAATAATATTCTCAATACCAAGGTGACTTAAAACACAAAGGGACCAATTGTTCTGTTGTGTAGTTACCAGTTTAATTGGGAAAATTGGGTATTTCTACAAGAGAGCCTGCAGATCACCATAAGTGGGTTATACCCAATGGACACTGGAGGTGTGGAAGCAGAAGGTGATTAAGTGTTCGTAGAGGATAATTGGTCACTTGGCTGTGACAGCAATGTCCACAACAGGAAGTATTTGTTCTACACTATTAGTTCACAGGAAAAATACTAGAGTTAGTAGAGTGCTTCTGAGCAAATATGATAGACTAGTAGGAACATTCAAGGTCTATATGTCTTATTGATAAATGATCCATAAACATCACTAAAAATGGCCATTACTCAAAGAAGATTCTCAATAGACTATTACATAATCTCTTATATATCACTTTCAAAGTTATTTTTAAAATGCTTTTCAAAGTTCTTAGCTGATTTCAGGTTTAGTCTTTATGTGCCATATTTCTCTATTGCTAAAGTTAGAAAGTAGAAATGTATTTTTAAAGTAATGTATAGTCTTTGTACCAGAAAACCCAAACTGATTTGCCCTTAGCTTAAATCACACAAAACATATAAAAATTCATCTGGTTTGGAGTCCAGCAGATGGCGTAATGGTTACATCGCTCGACTACCATGTAGTCATCCATGGTTCATGCTCCGGATCCTCTAGCTTGAAACTCATGCTGGGTACATATGCATGCATGCCCAAAATCCTGAGAAGAGAATGGAAAAAAAGGGGTTGCATTGTGGCCATCCCTCCTGGGGGATGATTTCTCACTTTCTGTCTCTCTCGGTCTCTCTGTCAAAGCGCACATGCCCTATAGCAAAAATCTCAAAAAAAAAAAAAAATCATCTTATTTGGAAGAGGAAAAAAAAATCTAGCAATTTTACTTTTGCTTTAATTTTTGGCTTGATCAATGTACTTTAAGAAATGGGAAACTATGAAGAAAGATAACTTGAGCATGTCATGTGACACATCATTAAATTACCACAATAATTTCCTATACCCTTTGTCAAAGTTCATCATCTTGCAGCAAATACTGCTCCATAGCCTTGTAGAGTCTGTAATTAAATGCACGAAAGTTGCAAAGAACTATCTTGTATCCTGTTGTTGAATATTTCTTTGAGTCTCACATGAATGTGTTGTAACCCCAAAACATTGTCAGTTCTTTGTAGAGTCAGGGATGAATAAAGGTCCACCCCACTTGACTATCTCTCACAAGTGTCTTCAAAGTTGGCAGTTTTATTAGTTGACAGTGGGAGTCTCATTCACTATCCACAATGTCCCCTATATGCTACATTTAGGCTTATTAGAAGAATTTTATTTTAATTTACTTTGTATCTAAACTATAAGAGCTTAAAGTACAGAAAAATAAGGAAAAATGCTTCTAATATTTAAAATTTACAAACTTACTGAGTCAACCCCTGGTTTTATTGCTGCCAGTCACACATTTTAATTTTAATGCTTAATCATCTCATTGTGACAAAACTAAATTTCATCTGAAAGAATTCTCTATATTGATGGCTCAAGGTAACTGTTCATACCTTGAACAACACACATCTTGGAAAACTTGGTGCAAACGGAAGTCAATGAGATACTCGGGACCAGCAGTTGGCATAATGCTGTCGCTGGACTCCCCTGTAGTCTACCATGGTTCGAGTCCCAGACCTGGTGGCTTAAACTCACATCGGGCACATATGCATGTGTGCCCAAGATCCCAAGAGGAGAATGGAGGAGAAGGGATTGCGGCATGGCCATCTTCCCTGGGGGGTGATTTCTTGCTTTCTGTCTGTCTGTCCCTCTCTGTCTTTCTGGCAAGCACACGTGCCCTATAGCAAAAAACCTCTTAAAAAAAAAGTCAATGAGATACTCAAATATATGAGGGAATATAATGCTTATATATGTTACTGCTTTTCAGCTAAGTTATAAAATTATAATACGCATTCATATTTCAAGATAGTAAGAGAACTGAAATTAAAAGAAAGCATAACTATGTTCAAAATTTCAGTTTGAATACACAGACACCAATACAGATCATTTGAAAAAAAAATTGAAAATGTAGTAGAGAATAATTCTATATACACTTAGAAGACTTTGTGCAGTATAAACTTCCTGGCTTAGTGTTGCATGTACCTTTTTGCCTCTCTGCTTAATCTTTCCAAATGTGTACAAATGTTTAACATAAGATCACACCACTGATATGAATCCTACCAAGAACATCTGTGTGGAGTCAAATATGAGAACAACTTCAGGAGGTTTACATTTGACCCCTGGCATTTGAAACAATATCCATTTCTTTTAACACTCTCTTGTGTAGGGCTGATCTGTAAATAAAATGAAAAATCTACTGAGAGGAATTATTTTAAATCATAAACTCTAAAGCTAAAGTTCATTTCAATAACTCTAATGCAACTAGAATAGAGGTATGTTTTACAAGATTTAAAAACATACAAATATTTAAACTCTTATTTGCTCAAAACATAGTCCTAGTCAGCTGAACTAGTTGAACAGTATTATGTATGAAACAGCTTTTCATTCTACCTATTTTTAAAAATTTAGACTATCTAGCTGTGACATGGACACTCTCTCTGGAGGGTAACACCCCCACCCCCATATTTTTCAAGCCATCATTTATACCCAATCGAATGTCACCAAATGAAAGATCATGACTCTATTTATCAGACCAACCCTCGGGCCTGTCAAATGCAGTCGTGAATAGCAATAACGCAGGAGCACTGGTAAGTTCCATCATTTCACAATCGCGCCCCGGGAGAAGAGGTGCTCAGTGGTTTTCCATCCCGAATGCTACCTCCATATACACACAGAACTCACTGCCAACCGACAAAAGGAACACATAGCTTCTGAAGAAAATCTCCTAAGTAGAGAAAAGCTCTCTGTCAAGCATGCAAGAGGTTAAACATTGCTGAAATAGCGAGACGTTCTTCTCAGCCTACGCTTCCCAGTTCCATTCAATCACCAACAGCAGCCGCCACTGTCATACAGGCTAATCCTGTATTATTAGATCCGAGCCCCATACATCCTCCTCTAACCTCAGGGGGTGGGAAGGGGGTGACACTTGCTAGTTTACAGCAGAACCAACGGCCCCCAGCTCGGCAACAGACATGACCTTGGGGTGTGGAATTCTCAGAGATGAGTTTCACAAGTTTTATTTGGCTCTACTGCATAACAACACGTCTAAGGAACCCAGCAGGGTATGAAGGTTCCTGTCCTCACCTCCTCCCCTCTGAAACCAGAGCTCTGCACTTGGCAGTCTGAGCTTCAGACAGAGGGAGCACACCCAGTAGCTAGAGGTTAAGTCTATTCGAATATATTTTTAAAAGATGATGTGTGTTTTTAAACAACTTGTTGGCTGATTTATTTGCTGTTTTTCGGTAGCGGATTTGGGGGCTTGCCTGGAATGGTGTCTGTCCTTTGAGCCATGCTGGAAATGTTGCTCTCTATATTTCTATGTATTCAGCAAGAGCAACACGATGACATGAACTTCACTAAAGGCAAAGCTTTCAACTTCCCCTCAAGAATTCAGGGCATAATCAGCAACAGATACTCTTGAAATAATAACGGTAATAGCATTTAGTTAAATATTTTTCAATCATTGCCAAAACTCCTGTTTCAAATAATATATTTAAAAAAGCATAACTTGGTTTTGAAATTTTTGAACGGCAGTCTGCATTTCTCCCCCACGTGCAATCGCTTGATAACAATATTCTTTTTCTTACCTTATGTTAACAGTCACAAAAGTCCCCCGGAAATATTCCTAAATGCCGTGGATATATAAATCACAATTGAAAAAAATATATATACTGAAAAGAACGTCTTAACGGGGGAAAATCAAAATAGTTTGGTCTGAAACTGTAGCAATCTCCAAAGTCACGCCTGAACGGGCGCCCAGGTGGCACGGAGGACTCTCCACGTCCGAAGCGAAGCCACACTCCTTTGTCGAGTTGATCTGCGTCCTGCTGGGGAAGCGGGTCCCACGGGGCACGCAGGGTGCGAGAGGGCGTTGCCTGCAGGTGCTGGAGCCCTCGGGCGGCGCGCGGCCGGGTCCAGCACCGGCAGCACCGTGGACAGCGGCGGCTGCACTCACCTCCGGCTGGTCTCCTTTTTTTTGCACGTTCCCCGCCGCCTCCTCCCCAGGCAGCAGCAGCTGCCACTCACCTCGAGACTCCGCCCACCGTCTGACGTAACTACTTTGCATATCAACTCTGGGCGGTTAGGGGCCGCCCCCGGGACCGGCTTGGCTGGGGTCAGCTGCGACCGCCAGGGCGACCTGGCCCGGGCTGGGCTCAGCGTGGGTCCCGGGCACCTGCAGCTCGGAGCTCGCGGGCTCTGCCGGGGAGGGCGCCGACCTCGGCCGTGCGTGCGGTGGGGCGCAGCGGCCCTCGGGGCCTTGCACCCACTCCTACGAATCCCCGGTGCTTCTGATCCTGCGGGCCAACTTTGCTCCCCCTGCCTGCCGCCTGGTTACTGGGGCCGTGCCTGCTCCCTGCTGCTCGTTTTCCGAGCTGCTGGAGGGAGTCTCCGCGGCAGAAACTTGTCTGCACCGACAGCAAATGTGAAATCTGGCCGCGCGTATCATCGCTCGTCCACAGACTCTTAAAAAATGTGTAGGAGGTTGCATGGGATATATCCGACTTCAGAGTCATTGCTCTAAACCCTGCAGGACCGTCCCTCGTCATCCTCAGGATTTAAATGTTTTTCTCAAGCTCTCTGGAGCTGGAGAGGCCAGGGTTAAAAAGCATCATTTAATAATGAAAAATATGGAAGTTCTCAGCTTCAACTTTCACTGCCAAAATCCTGAAGGTTATGCAATATTTATTATGTCTAATATGTCAATTGTTCTATGAAAGATGGAGAGTGCTGGGAGCTTTCAGAGCCCTTAGCAGTCCTCTCTCAGAATTGGTGATGTTTCTGTCCTGTGAAGCTCTGAGGGCTTTGACAGCCAGAAAAAGGGGGACTGCCACGCCAGGTTCGGCAGAAGGCTTAAACTTGTAAACAAACACTTTCGGTGAACCGAAACCATCAATCATGTGGAAGGGTCATTATTCAGAGGCCATCCAGCTTCCCTCCTCCGCTCACATCACTTACGCGCAAAGCAATGGGCATAGAAAACTAAGCCTACATTTTCATAACTAAATGAAGTGTTTTCCACTTCATTAAAAAGTGCTGTTCATTCGAATTGTTTCCTAACATCGAACACATCCTTCTCCAGGAGGATGCAGACTGCTGGGAAGGACCGCATGTTCCAGGTTTCTGGTTTAACACTGAACCTGTGTCTAGGTTTTCAAGGACTCAAACCCAACAAACATACCTGTGTAGTTCCCCATTTGAAAAAATGATGAACAAATTAGATTTTTTTTCTACGCTGTGTAAGAAATTATTTGAGAAAGTATTACCTACTTTGTGGGCAACTATATCTACGTTTCTGCTTCAGTTACTTATGAAAGATAAAATTAAGGGGAGGAAAAAGATGTGTTTTTATTCTCAAGGTATGCTTATTTTATCTGCTTTGCACACACAGAAACGTTATCTATTTGATTAATTAATTGATTTATATTTTGCAGCTTTATTCCAGAATTTGTTCATTTATTTCCCAAGTATATAATTTCCTGGAAATATCCCTCCAACACAGCTAGGCCATATTTCTTGCCTTCTGGGTAAGCGGCTATTCTCCTCTGACAGCGACCGCTTTTATGTTAATATATAAACTACAAGCGCCCTGACTTTCTGCCCCGCCCACTCATCACACACACCCACACTCTGACGTAAGAGGAGGGCTTCCGTCCCCAGAGCGATTCTAATAATGGTCCTGAGCGCCATGGTAGGCCATGGCAGGTGACACCGGGGGGCATGGGGGCATCGTGCGATTAGTACAAGGAGCCCCTGTACGCAGGCCGCTCTGGCTGGCACAGGAGAGGGGCTTCTCTGGGAACATGGCAGAGGGTGGCCTGCCACCTGCCAGCATGGCCTGTCAGAAGAGTCGAGGACTCCCTGAAGACATGCGTAGAGCACACGGGGCATTCTTTTCATGTGTGTGAGAGAGAGAGATTCTCTTAATTTTTTTTTAAGTTTAATTTTTAAAAAAAATTGCTATAGGGCATGTGCACTCATCAGAGAGACAGAAAGACAGAAAGCAAGAAATCAACCCCCAGGGGAATGGCCATGTGATAATCCATTCTCCTCCATTCTCCTCTCAGGATTATGGGCACCCACAAACGCACGCCCGGTGTGAGTTTTAAGCTGCCAGGTCTGGTATTGGAACCACAGTCAACTACTTGAGAGTCCAGTGATGTAACCATTATGCCACCTGCTGGCCCCACATGGAGGTATTCTTATAAAACGGCACCAACACCTGTGTCATTTGTTGAGTGGACACCACTTTTCAGTTCACTCTAGTGATCATATTGTTTCGGGCTGTGAGCACGATCAAAGCAGTCACATATTCGCAGACTTGAGGCAATGAAGTTGGAAAACGAACCCAGATCTGAGAGGGGGAATCGATGGAAGAGTGCTGTTTTGGCAAACCTGCACAGAGAAGCTCGCAGCACTGAGAGGACCTCAGGCTCCTTGGGGCTCTGGGGCTCACCATGTCCTAATGGAAGCACCAGGAGGGCAAGGTGCGTACACCCTCCCCCACGGACCAGCTGTGGAACTGGGGTGCGGCCAAGTGTCTCCAGGGTTCCTACGTATCTGTTATTCTACTAGGCTACATTAGAAGTCAAAAACTTCGGCAATTTCTATGTGCGAAATCAAAATTCTGTGTTACTGTAGAGTTTGAAACCTTAAGAACATTCTCCTTGGGGCCAGCAGCTGGCGTGGTGGTCGGGGCGCTGGAATCCCACGCCGTGGACCTGGCGCCGTGCTTTCTGTCTGGTCAAGCTGCATAATAATAATAATAAATAAAATGTAATGATTCTTTAAAAATGAAAGAGAATGTTCCCCTTCAGTAGGTCAAATTGGTATCTAACTGCAGTGCTAAGGCTGTGAAAAAGGCACCTTGGGGAGGGGGGAACCAGCAGTTAGTGGACCTGGCGCCGTGCTTTCTGTCTGGTCAAGCTGCATAATAATAATAATAAATAAAATGTAGTGATTCTTTAAAACTGAAAGAGAATGTTCCCCTTCAGTAGGCCAAATTGGTATCTAACTGCAGTGCTAAGGCTGTGAAAAAGGCACCTGGGGTCACGAGGTGGGGTGGCCTGGGGAGGAGTGACAAGCACCAGCTCTGAGGCTAAGAGAGGTTGAAAGTCGCCTTACGGGGCTGGACGGTAAAGCGCTCCTCTGGGCTGACCCTAGCAGGAAGGTTCGCTCTCGGAGACTTCCCTGAACATGGCCAGGGTGTGCCAACAGGCTTTCCATGACCCAGGGGGCCTGGGCCGGGCTGGGTCACAGTGTCAAGACCTGGTTGGGGATGTGGCCCCCACCCTCATTGATGGAAGAAATGAATTAATACACATTAAACATAAAATAAATTTAAGCCCCCAGGCTGAATTTCCCCCAGGAAAAGGCAGAACGGAGCTGTTAAAGTAGTTGCTCATTCTCTAAGCAGTATCCCGATAGTCTCACCCACGGTCGCACAGGATAGCTGGGGTCAATTCTAAGGCAACAGTACAATGGGAAGCAGGCCGGAAGTAGTAACAGGGTGTTTTAGCTACAATGTGCCATTGGAAAGATGACTAAAATATTAATTCATACGCTCTAAAGCTGGACGGCCCATATCTACTTACGGCATTAGTTTAGACACTTTACATGAACGTATTAGAATGTATTATAATACACAAAAATTCTGAAGCTCATTGTGTTGTTGTCTTGTGAGTATATGTATTTTTGGACTTCTGTGTTGTTTTCCAATTTTACAAGCTCTTTTAAAATTATAATTATTTTAATGTATTCATAGTATAGTAAATGTAGAACTACTCTAAAGATAATCACAGTGTACACTTTGCTATTTTTTTTTGAATCAGTTGTAAGAAGATTTACTGTGAATTAAGAACATGCTTATTATGAAAAGCAAAGATGTACTACTTTTCACCAGGTAATTTTCGCTCGTACTTTTTGGGAATCAAAGTAAGGCACAGCCGAGAAAAAAACTCAGAGCCATAAATAACCACATCTTTTTAAATTAGAGAGTACATAATTGCAACATAAGCACAAACACGCTGAGGCTAGAAACCCGGTCCCCTTCAGTGTGAGCCTCCACAGGAATCCGCGCCCTCCGTGTAATGAACGTGGACACGATGCTTCGATGGGTAGATGTTACATTTAACAATCAGTTCTTAAGAGAGGATGGGAATGGCTGAAAGTTATTCTGCTTTTTAGTGTGCGTTGTCATTTTGTTTTGTTTTAACTATAGGTCATATGTGTTCACTGGAGAGAAACACAGGCAGGCAGACAGACAGACAGACAAAGTGAAAGAGCATTTCTCCCCCACTCCACTACCCCCCAGGGGAGATGACCACACCACAACCCCTTCTCCCTCCCGAGCTGCCTGGTCTGGGACTTGAACCACAACAGTGGCCATGTAGGATCCAGCTGCCTTAGCTACCACACCACTAGGCTAGCCCCCTTTTCAGCTTTGCTATAGCAATTCCAGATATTAATTATACACAGTATACAGCATCGCTGCAGAGACGGCGCCTGAAAATGCATTTTCTTTCTCTCTCTCCTCTCTGTGTGCCTTCCCTGACTGAAGGTACTCCATTCCCTTTCTCTGTTCTCCCTCCTGTTCCCTTAGCCATTTGACCAGGACTTTTCCCCTTCTATGTGTTTTATTTTAATATTCTGTTTTAAACATTTATTAGTTACATATCTGTTGTGCTGTAGGATACTTAGATATGGTATTGCATTATTTAGTAGAATGTCGATACAAAGCATTTATACCCAGAATATTTTGTATTTATTTATTTATTTTTCCTAGTGGGCATGTGCATTTGCCGAAGAGAAACAGAGAAGGAGAGACAGCAGTCCCCCATATGGGGCGTGGTCATACCCCAACCCCTTTCCCTTTTCTCCACTCTGTTGGAATTTGGGGCACTAACACACATAGGCCCGGCATGTTTCTCAAATGCCAAGTCTGGGACTCAAACCCCAGAGTTGGCCGTGTGGCATCTGGCTGTCATAACTACCAGGCCACTGAGAGAGCCTCATACCTAAATTTCTTCGCTAACTCTGGGTCAAGTGACTCACCCACATTTGTGTGTGTGTGTGTGTGTGTGTGTGTGTGTCTGGTCAAGATGTGCCAAAGATTTTCAAATACATTTTCTTTAAAATACGAACATAAAATGTAGGATATAAGAATTGAAAGCATCAGAAACTTACTACTAACATGTAAAGCTATGGGCTGAAAACACTGCTGCCCTGTCACCTGCATGGACGTGATCGGAGATGTGTTTGCAATGAACTATACACTTTACATGAGCTTATCTTAGATTAATTCCTAAAACTCAATGTGTTCAAAATGAAGATTGTTCGATTTTTTCTTATTTTTATTTAAATTGTTTTCTCTACTGTCTCTCATAGTGCAAGAATTGTGATAGTTTTAAGTAACAAATTGCTAAATTTACTCATGAATATCCTGAAAGTTCTTTCCTTACTATTTCCATTATGCACAGAAAGAGACACTAAGAGGCCCCTTTTATTGTTCGTAATCATGAATCTGCCAATGTTTTATAAGGTTTCACGGTCTCAGAAATATTCCACAAAATGTTGGATGTGAGTCTTTCTTCTAGCCCTCAAACTCTCAGAACAGTACTCACGTGAACTTGAATTCCCGCTGTGTAATAGGCTTTCAGATTCTTCAAGGACCTGGGCAAGTATGTATAGTATGAATAAAAGCAGTAGCTTCAAGAAGTTGGTTGGTGTTGATCTTTGGTGAGTTAGTGTTAAATAGAGAAAGGGTAGTGGGACCAGCAGTTGGCATAATGGCTATGTCGCTGAAATCCCACGTAGTCGACTGTGGTTCAAGTCCCGGACCCCGTGGCTTAAACTCACGCCAGGAACATGTGCGTGCGTGTCCAAGATCCTGAGGGGAGAATGGAGGAGAAGGGATTGGGGCATGGCCATCCCCCCTGGGGGGTGATTTCTCACTTTCTCTCTCTCTGTCTCTGTCTTTCTGGCAAGCGCACGCGCCCTATAGCGAAAACTTCTCCAAAAATAAATTTTAAAAAAAGGGTAGTGTGTTTCAAGGAATACTGCTTAACTGGAAAGCTAAAAGCCTACCACATTTAATAGAAAATCTAGCTGCTTAAAGGAATACATTTCTTGTTTTAATCAAAACTTTGAGTCCAAGGAATATGCCAGTTAAAAGAGCGTCAGAGATCTTGGAGATCACAAAGGTTTGTACCATGGAAGACTGAATCTCTAAGACCCATAAACTATTTTTTTAATGATAAACATAAATCCATAACTTTATAAGTCTCATCTTCTAACTGAAGGGGAAAATAAAACCTGATATTTACTTACCCACTGCGTGGGAAGTGAGCACTGGTGACATATTTTTCAGGGTCAGGTTCAAGCTCACCGCTCTAGTGCTGACATCTACACTTTTCCTTATCAGATCTGCGCCTCCACCTTTCACCCCAGCTTAGCTTTCTCCTTTGTGTTTGGTGTGGTCACATCATTTGCTTTTTTTTTAACACACATGTAGGCAGCCCATGGCAGGCAGAGGAAACTGCAGCCACTGGCCCGGAAGACCCTGGGCGTACCAGATCTCACTCCAAGTTGGTGCTTTCCTGAGAGGTGCACTAAGACTCCCTTGGAGAGCGAGTCACCTTGGATTCGTTTCCTTTTCCTGTACTAGTCTGTAGACAATGAGAATAAGCTCTCAGTAAGATCTCACATCTGTCAATATGTCCATGCAGTGTCTGCAGGCTTATTGATGTTTTCAAAATATGCAGCTCTAAAAAGGGACTATAGATTGAAATGATCAATTAAAGGAATATTTTCTTAGTAAATATAATTAAATAAGAATTTTTAAATGTTTTGGGACCAGCAAATGGCATAATGGTTACATTCCTGAATTCCCACATAGTCAACCATGGTTTGAGTCTTGGACCCGGTGGCTTAAAACTCACACTTGCACGAATTTAGCTTAAAAAGACTTTAAAACTCACTCATGTGCCTAAGTGTCCAAGAGGAGTATTGAAAAGAAAGTACTGTGGCATGGTCATCCCCCCTAGGGGGTGATTTCTTGCTTTCTGTCTCTCCAGCAAGCACACGCCAAAAAAAAAAAAAAAAAAAATTCTCTTAGAAATATTTTTATTGTTTTTATATAGCCATGTATTTATAATCTGAGATGGCTTCATGAGGAAGACATTAGAAAAGGACATAAGCCTATCAACAAATAATTTAGTCTTTGGCTCATACAGAGCATCACCTGTAAGTTACTTTTTATAAACTAAAGGTGGAAAGACTATAGTTCTATTTTGCCCACCTCATATAACAAATATATTTGGATAACCTCTATTTTCTATGAGTATACTTCAGTGTTAAAACATCTAGAAGTAGAGAACTATAATTAAGATACCATCCATTAATGGGCCTGCATACTCTTCTAATAGGTATGTTACAGAAAATAATCAAAATGAGAATGAAATCAGAAAACCCCAAATGTATCAGCCAATTCAAGAAATACTTGACAACTAAACTTGATTTAGTTCTCTACTTAAATTAACGCTAGAGTTATATTTACGAACCACAGTCACAGCTAATGGTTCTGGCTGCTTTTAGGATATTAGAAATAATCAATTTAGATGGATCAGATGTATTGCTGTCTTCATGGTATCGTAGTTTCCAAAATTGATTTTGTAAGTTATTGTTTCCTTCTGCTATTGTTTTAATAATTAGTTTTTGAGTCTTTGAAATTTGGTAGTCTTCGAGTCTTCAGAATCTAAAAATATGGTTCCACTTCACAAGTATAATTGAACTATGAAAATAGAGCCCAAGAATTTGCTGATGTTCAGAGACAGTTTTCTTAGCGTTCCTGTGTTTAAGAGATCTCTTAGGGCATCTATTGGCCAATGTTAGTACTGCATGTGAGAATTGTAGTCCACACCACTCCAGAGTTAGGTGTTCCCCGACAAGGCTGAAAATGCATGCTGATGAAGAGATGCATGATGAAAACTTCATTGTTTATTATTGGATTTAAATAATCGAGCAAATACCTAACAACAAAGATGCCATGGGAATTGGTCTAATAAAACTTTTGTAATGTAACATTGGTGGTTTCAACATTTTCAAAATGTATGTTAATCATCTTTTAGAATCAAAGATGTCACTGTTCAGATACGTTGCCTTCGGCAATTTATTTAAAGTTCTAAACTTTTTCCTTTTTTCTTTTGTTTTCTTTTACTGTGAACAGGACAAACATTAATTTCAAAGATACAAAGAGTCTGAAAACAAATGGATGGAAAATATACACCATGGAAAGAGAATCACAAGAGAGCTATGTTAGCTGGCTATCCTAGGACAAATAAAATAGACTTAAAAATAAAATTGCTACTACAGATAAAGAGGTATGTTTCTTTCTTTTTTTGTTTTGTTTTTATGAAAGGTTTTTGCACGTGCTTGCCAGAAAGAGAGAGACACAGAGAGAGAGACAGAGAGCGAGAAATCATTCCCCGGGGGGGGGAGGATGGCCACGCCTCGATCCCTTCTCCTCCATTCTCCTCTCAGGATCTTGGGCATGCACACACATGTGCCCAGCATGAGTTTAAGCCACCGGGTCCAAGACTTAAACTGCGGACGGCTACGTGGGAGTCCAGCGACAGAGCCATTACACTAACTGCTGGTCCCAAGGGGGATGTTTTATAAATATAAAAGGGTCAATCCTACATGACAGCATAGACACACATGAATCTAACAAGAAAGCCTAACATTAAGAACAAAAACTTAATAGAGAAGTATACTCTTCTACCTTAGTATTTAAAGATAGCAATATCTGACTTCCTTTTTTAATAAGTAAACAAATTTCTGAATTTCGATAGAAGAAACAAAATGACTGTTACCCCAGATTTCCAGAGAAGCACACACGGTAGCATACTTTACATGGAAGTCTTTGAGAATAGGGTGTGAAAAGACACGGGGAATACGGCTGTAAGTCTTGAGTTCAGAAAGACTATAAAATGTGTAAGGAAATAAATAGCACATTCCAAGTGAAAATAATCAGCATATTTGGCCAGAGAGAGAGGCAAGTTTTGCCTGAAGTATCACCGTTGCTGGCTAGACACAAAGGTGAAGAACTGGAAGGGAGCTGGAACTTCAGCTGCAGCCTCTCTCTGTGTGTAATACCGGTACGTAGCGTGTGTTAGAGGATACATACCTTTACTGCTCTATAAACACAAGCATAATGTGGGGTGATTAAAATAGAAATAAAACTACTAAAATACTCTTTAAAACACAGGTAAAAATTGGTAAGTCCTGGGCACGGGGCTAGACAGTGGCACGATGTAAAAAGTGATGCTTCTGTGAAGCAATCCCAACAGAAGGTTCCCAGTTCAAGTCTGGAGACCTCTCTGAGGACACCAGGAACAAGGCACTCATGATCTGAGGTCGGCTGAAATGGGGTAGATCACAGAGACAAAACGCTCTTGAAGGTGCTGTCTCTCTCTCGTCCTTGCGAGCTCATGGAAAAGATAAGATAAACTTTGAAAAGTGATTCTCGAGGACAAAGTGATACAGAAAGAGAAGTAACAACAGACTTGGGTGAAGTGAGCCGTTACTTCTGATCCCTGCGGCTCCTGTCCAGCCTGCCCTGTTCAGAAGATCTTTCCAGAACCAATGGTCCTAACCGTCTGGCTGGGTTTGGGAGCCCAAGGATGGCATTAAGACAGTCTGGGTGACACGTGCTAATGGCCCAAAGACGTTTAGATTACTGCCCTTCACTTCTCCCTCCTGGCACGTCTACTTCTGTTTCTGCTTGTTTGTTTGCTTGCTTTTGATAATATACGGAAATCATTTGGACTTAAGAGAGTAATGACTGCTAGCCAGGAAACCTGAACACAGCCCTGTGAGCCAGTCCAGGGTTTCTCAGGACACATCTTCACACGCATCATGGCTACTCACACCACACTCTCCCCGTACAGGTGTTTGCCTCATGCTATGTGGTGGCAGGATGGAGCCACGGGCCCACTTAACAATGATGAGTAAAAGTGGTGCCTGCCGCTTTGCAGCTGAAAAGTGAGTGGTTGGTGCAAGATCCTGCAGTCACAGGACGGGGACCTCTGACGGGAGGCTGCCTCTTGGGTATGGGCTCCCAGGGACACTGAACAGGGAGGCTGTGGCTGTCATCTCTCCTATTGCCACAGCACCCAAAACTTAGGCGAAGCCAAACCGCTCCACTTCTGCAAGTGGGGGGGTTCTGGCTCAGGTTCAGAACTTTACTTCCTCCCAAAGTCCTCAGCTACCCACCCGCTGCCTTCTTGGCTTCCAGCAGACAGACAGCACTGCCTTCCGAACGTATAGGCTTCCTCGTTCTCCAAGTTTTCCATTTTCCTGGAATCACACAGACTACAGCTGCTTACTCTCTATCCTGAAATAAGCACAGGGTGGGTGAGCAGGTAAGGTCCCTCTGTTCCGCTCCGTACCAAGCTAACACACATTCCTGTCATTCTGACCCAGAGGCACGGGCTTCCTTCTGGACAGTAATGACAGCACCCCGTAGTGGTCTGGATTTTATTCCCATATGCCCACATGTACCCAGAACAAGAACCAAGCCTCTTCCTCACCCGCTCTTTCCAAGCATTCCTTAATTACCCGTTTGACGAACAGGACTCAGGTGCCCACCCTGAAAGAGGAGAGCTGAGACAGAGACTCAAGCAGAGGTCTGGTCGAGCGCCATGAGCGAGGCCCATCGGAGCTACCACAGCGCCGCGGAATTCATGCTAGCGTGGAAGAATATGCCCAGAATGGCTCTAGCCTGGTGAGCCTAGGACTAAAATTCTGCCCTTAAGACCCACCCTCTGCCCTGGTGAGCACTTTCCATGGCCTCTGCTCAGGATGTCAAACACCTGGCCCTGGTTTCCAAGGACGGCCTGCCGTGTTCTCTGGTTCTGACTCAGCAACTCTGAGTGCTGTCTAATTGGATGCGTGCTACCCTGCACTACTGACCTGGAAATGGCTGTGAACTGCCTACTCTTTCATGGTTGGCATTTTGCTTGGTCGGATGAATTTAAATTATCAGCCTCTTCAACTGGGTCTGGTCACACCACAGTCCCCTGCCCCCAGCCCTCCAGCTCGTCAGGATCTTGGGCGAGCAGGCACCGGCCCAGCACGCTTTGAGTGGACCAGGCCAAAGAACCGAACCCACAATCAGTCACCTGGCTTCCAGCACTGCCGTTCAGCACTACTGACGTTGCCTATGGGGCTGGGCCCATTGCTTCCTCAAGGTGGTGAGCTGCTCTGAGCTTGTCAAGTTCTCTTACTCCTTCCCTAGACTCAGACCAGTCCCAAATCTCTAATGAAATGAGGATCTAAGGAATTCCGCTTGGAGGACGGTGACACACAGAACTGCACTAGCTTTAAATGAGAAAATACCGTGTCAAACAGTGCAAGGTCCTTTAAGTCTGTATTTCTTTTGTAACTCACTGACTCATTGGATTGACCCTTCTTCCTGATTTGGTTTAGGGAAGCAGGGAAGTTCCTCAACTTATCCAGCACAGAAGAGCAGGCAAAGGACAGCGGCCTCAATCGCGGCCTGACTGCACTGGCCACACGGTCTCCACACCTCTGTATTTTACAGCTGCTTTGAAACAGTGTCAGAGAGGGAGAAAGGACTCAGA